ATCTATGCACTTGATGTAGCATTTTTCACATCTTCTACACGTATCAAGTGCTTAACAGAATATACTGTAAAGTGAATTGACTGTATATTTGTGGGCGGCAGCCAATTGCGCACAGCAGTGTCCCACAAACGGTCGTGGATTGAAATGACCAATTCTATTTATATTTTTTTGCTTGAGGGATTATTATCAGGCGTGTGGAGTAAGGAAACTTGTCCAAGGTTTCGCCCTGAAGGGAATAAAACCCAGATCTCTCGTGTGCAAGGCAAGTGCTCTAACCACTGAGTTACAGGACTGGTGAGGTTGGTGAGAGCCAAGACTTGGGAACCCCAGGGTATGTGTTTTATCAACAAAATTACAAAGTTTACCATTAAGAGTAGTGTTTGGCTACTCTTCCCCCAATGTATCAAACAGGAAGACACAAACAACAATGACTGTCTTCCCCCATATTCAGAGGGACACATAATCACCACAAGACGTTGTAATCCCTTTGGTTTATAATAGACTGTTATGGATAAGACTTGTATTTTAAAATGTAATAAGATAAGCAGCACCTACCTCATGTACTGTGGGCCCAACCACAGATAGAAATCAAAGCATGATAAGAGAGACAACAAAGGGATAAGCAATGATGCCATGTCTGTGCACAGGGGTAATGTGTTGCACTTGGGATTGGTATTCCCTCTCCCTTATATACATTAACATCATTAATATCGCTAAGGTGTCAGAATGAGACAAATTTTGGGTATTAAGTGAATTAACATGAGATTAATATATATTTCAGTTCATTTCAATTCATTTATGGCTCACCTTATTCTTTGACATAACACAATTAAAGTAGACCTCGCACACAAGTAGGATACTCCTGAGAGTTATGCAATTCAATGGTAACTTACAATGTGCAAAAAGGGTCATATTGGGATGATATTGCCATTACACCATAAGGTAATCTAGTCTGAATCTAATAATATAATCTATTTCTCATATGTATGTATATGAGACCACTGGGGAAAGTGCTTCTCGAGAAGAACATGAACAATTTCCATTTTTCTAGTGCCTTTCCCTTTGGGAAAATATTTCAAAGTGCTTTACAAAGACTGAATGAAAGCCTGAACTCTGAGAGAGCTTGGGTAGTGGAAAGTGCAGTCAAATAGGTCAAGTCAGCTGGCATTTGAAAGCTGAGGCAATCAGAGTAATTGATTGGAACAGATTGCTAGGAGGGGTGGTTGAGGCCACGACATTTAAAAATTAGCTTGATGCTGTACGGGAGGAAGATAGGATGTGTTTTCTGGAAGGACAAGATAAGATAGACCAAAGGGCATATTTTGTCCAAATCAATCTTGAGATCTTGTGAAAGGATTTGCAGAGAGTTCCAGAGGGAGAAAGCAAAAAGCCTGAAGGCTAGTCTGCCAATGGTGGCCAAAGTTGGTGGAGCAGATGGAGGATTAAGGAGGAGGTTGCAGAAATAAGGAAGTGCAGGGCCAAAGAAGCATTTGTATGTGGAGACACAGCTCTTAATTTTAATCTGCTGGGGGATATGGAGCTAATAATAATAATGATAATAATAATAATGCTTGCATTTGATATAGCGCTTTTCACATCTTCTAGATGTCTCAAAGCGCTTCACAGAATAATATACTGTAAAGTGAATTGACTATATTTGTGGGCAAAACACGGCAGCCAGTTGCGCCCAGCAGTGACCCCCAAACAGTCGTGGATTGAAGTGACCAATTTATTTGTTTTTCTTGTGGGATTATTATCAGGCATGTGGAATAAGGAAACCTGCTCAAGGTTTCGCCCTGCCAGGAATTGAACCCAGATCTCTCCCTTGCGAGGTGAGTGCTCTAACCACTGAGCTACAGGACCTCAGTGGAGCCAGGTGCGGGTTGGAAAGATTGGCCAGAAGGGCGAGAGGATCCAGATCGCAGAGCTCTACAGGGTTTGGAGTTTGTTTAAGGGAGAAGCTAGGAAGGCTGGCGAGCAAGACATTAGAAACTAAATGTTTCTGAATGAGAATGAGGTTTCTGGCTATGTTAGGGGTGAGGTAGTGGCAGAGGCAAGCAAAGATGGGGAGATGTAAAAATGTGGATTTGGTCAGAGCTTAAGCTTGTAGTTGAGCTGAGGGTCAAACAAAATACTGAAGTTCTGCACAGACTCCATGAGTTGGAGTGAACAACTAAGAAGGTCGACCCAGTCAGCTCCTGAGATGAGGAGATGCTGATGAGAACAGAGCAGGAATTTTGTCGACATGGAGTTGGAGAAAGTTGTAGCTCAGGCAGGACTTGATGTATAACATGCAACCTGACAGAACAACATTGATCCTGCAGTTGAGGGTGGAAGCAGAAAGGTAAAGTTGGGAAATGGAACCCATGCATGCAGATGATGTCACCAAGGGAGAACATGTAGATTAGAAAAAGCAGAGGATTGAATTTTGAGTCATGAGAAACACCACATATGCTAGAATGGGTATAGGACAATCAGATAAGGCAGAGTAAAGACACCTGGAGGTGGGAGTGAAATCAGGAATGTGTGGATTCTTGGAAATGAATCAGGGAGTAGAAACAGTGGAGAAGGATGGAATGGTTAACAGTGTCAAAGGAGGAAGAGAGACCAAGTAAGACGAGATGGTAGAGGGAGTCATGGAGTCAGACATAAGAATACCATTTGTGACTTTGCCCTGTGCCATCGCTGTTGTGAGCTGGGCAGAAGTCAGATTGGTGGGGTTTTAGCAGAGAACGGTGGGAGTGGAAGGAAAGGAACCGGGATGTTGCAACTTGTTCCAACACGATAGTGAGGAGGGCCAGTGTGTAGATACTAGAGAGGGGTACAGCTAGCCATTTTGGGATGTCCTTCTGAAGTGAAAGTTGATATAGAAGTGTAAATTGTATTGTATAGATTTTTTTAAAGAATGGGGTAAAGAAAAGGCTAGAGGCCCATAATAAGATACCTGTATTTAGCTGACAACTCTATCGACAGAGAAAGCTATCTTAAAGAGCATCAACATGCTCCAACACTAGTACAACCACCTTTCGGTAAGGGTAAAACTCACTCTACTAACTACTCATAACAACAGATGAGAGATGAGGGGTGGATATTAAAAATCCCATGGCGCCATGGCACTCACTTCACTGAAAAAGAGATGTGAATTTCTCCTAGTGTTCTGACCAACAATCTTCCAAATCAATTTGATAATTAATTTGATAGCTGTTTGTGAGCCACTCCCGTGCAAAAGCTATGAAATGCACAGTCACTACAATTTGCAGTAAATCCCTTGAAGTGCTTTGAGAAACCTTCCCAACGTGAAAGACACAATATAAAATGCAAGAATTATTCTTTGCTTTAATTATAGGGCCTAAGTCTGACATTAGGTCTTAATGGTTGGTGTGATTTTTAAATTTAACTTACAGGAAGTTTAACTTTCAAAGTGGGCAAATTGAAAGTCCTACCAAGATGTTTCACTCCACACAGAGCCCTCACCATTGTTTGACTGTGGCCATGGAATTCTTTATCCTTACTGTTAACAGTGGTTTATCAAAGTGCTTGTTCTCTGCAACCAAATTGCTCTTCTCTCTCTTTAGGATAGTCAGACTAAATCAGGCATTACTTTTATAGACATTATCTGTCTGCCTCCTGTGAGGAGTTCTCCAATGGTGCTATGGACTGGATACAAGCTTGAGTGCGAATTCACAGGAATGTTATCTTGCCTGTCAAGCACTACCGACTACTTTTCTGTTGAACATGTGAAGTCACAATTCATCCATGTTTCAGTGGCAGTCTAGCTGTGGAAAAATCTAAGCAACGTCTCAGGTTGTGAGATTGCATTAATTCAGTGCCCACTTCCCAATCAATGGGGAGAAATTTCACTGTGTCTAGATTTATTCTATTTACGTAGCATTTTTTGGACCATCCAGAATATGGCAAACTGTTGGATTTAGTCTTAAGTTTGATATTAATTTGTGTAGTTTGTTGAAAGGAACTTACAAGGTTTCAAAATTAAGGCTACTTTTTTAAAAATTTGCCAAGTTCTGGACACACTGAAACACAGCTCAGATTTTAGTAAATCTGGACCAACGTGGAATTTTTCCCCAGGTGTTAAATCTCTCTGCTTGAAACAAGCCTGAAATTCTGAATCACTAATATTACAGTGGTCAGGGGGACAATTATGAACAACACATACCTGTTGATTTGGGCTCTCCAAATTTTGTAACCAACAATTTACTGCAATAAGTTCCTCATTCACTAAGAAAGACATCATCCAAATCATTTTCTTCCTATTATAGTATTCACTACCTGCATGTCTTGCCAAAAAAAACAGCAGGGTTCTTCTGCATTAATTTATCGTCAGGCAGTTTAACTCACACAAAATGCAACAAACTCAATGCTGCATTACATTTTTTTTCTAAATCCACTTGAGAAAACAAATGCACCTTAACCATCAAAGATTACTGCAATTACGGGTCAAAGCGACACAATTTAGATCAGTGAGGGTTTAGATTGTAAGATAGAGGGAATAGTACATCAAGATATCTTAAGTCTGTATCTTAATTGCTTTTCAGACAATTTTAAATTCAAAAGATTTCACAAGAATGAGTTTCCAAGATTTCATGGTGATGCTTTGTTTTTTACTCTCGCCTCTGAAAGAGGGTTCTGTGCAAATGCATTAATCATTGATCAAAACACATTAATTCCAGAGCCACATGCAAAATAATCATGCAAAAATGTTTCAAGATGTCAGTCCCGATTTTGTTACGGATTTGACGAATATTTTTAATAGCTGCTTTCACCACTATGGCTCCAAACAAATTAAGTGACTTTCAGTTGCAATGACGAGAACAGTAAGGTTATCCATGCACACTGTCATAAAGTTGTATTCATCACAATAACTAGAAAGAAAACATTCAAATAGGATACAGCACAATGAACACATACAGAGAACACATCACAAAACGGCACAGACTCATTTCACTATTCCTCTAGTAAAGGTAACGAAAAGGTAGACTCACAGATAGAAAACTTGTTGCTGTTGTCTTTGCCTGGGAACAACTTAACTCCTCTAGATTTAAAATCTATGGCCTTTTTCACTAGTTAGAAAAACAAACAAAAATACACATCAGAAGAAACAACTTAAAGCAAAACAAATGTACTTTATAAAAATTTATGAAATTATTTAAAAGGCTGCAGTGTTGACTTGATTCAGAGTTCATTGAGAGAAACCAGTGACACAATGCTATTGACAGCTGACATAAAGATTATTAAGCAAGTGATCGCCATAGTAAAAATATCACTGAAACAAAATGTTGCTTGGTTTCCCTTCTGTTTCTCTGTGGTGTGCATGGCAAACACCAGGAACAAGACTGTTAATTCTCTGGAATATTTACAGTGTGGAACTCTCTTTGCAATTGTTAGTCTTGTGAGGAGAGGTTACAACTTGACCCAATTAGTTCTGAAAAGGAGTGTTTAAATATGCACAAAATAAAATAGACAATGTGAGCATCAAGTTTATTTTGTGTGAAGTAGTATGTTTTCCTTGGGTACATCTGCCTTAGAATTGTAATAACATAATGTTTGCAAGTGTTCTTGAATATAAGCTGCCAAGGCCTTTGGGAGTTGGTCTGATAATCTAAAAACCAGAGATAGAAATTGATTGAACAATGTATTGGGAAAAATCTTTTACATTCTAGTTTAAAAAATGAACACCATCATGCACAGAGTAAAATGTTTTATTATGATAATCAGGCAGTAACAAAATCAATAAATTTACTGCATGTTTCAATTTCAAATGGATTCAACAGTATTAATTTGATTCATGTTGATACTTTAAAATGTAAGATTCCTGTGGTGATGCTGAAATATTTCTAGCTATCTGATGCTGGCAATTTTCTTTGTGTTACAGTTACCTTATTTATCCACCAGAGAGCTTTCATCATATTAATAATACACTGGATTAGTTTTGGATGTGCTGTCACCATGAATTATTCTATCAAAATTTTAGATTGCCAGTAATATAATGTTCAATACCCTGGAATGGTAGGTAACAGATTCACAGTTGTAATCCTCCTCCTTTACCATCCCCACACAACGTTTACAAATAAGCTACAAATCTTTCCATGCAACAAACGAGAGAAACCAGATCAAAGCTAGAACATTTCCTACAATAAATAAGAACGATCAGTGGTGGATTCTACCCAACATACTCCAAATATCTACCTAGATGTCAAACTAAGGGAAACATTAATCAGAGGCTCCAGGTGAAATCATCTGTTCATACTCCATGTCACAACATTATCTACTTTGTGAGTCTTTGTGGATGATCAAAGGAAAGCAGGAAAAATATATTTAAAATAAAAAAAGCTAATATTATAAGATAAAGTTTTCCTTTATTAGAAGATAAAGATGTATGATGTACCTCCTTATGGAAACTTAATAATAATAATCCTTGCATATTTTTGCACTGTGTTCAGTTACAACTTCACAAGACCAAGACAACACAAAGTTAAGTAATGTTTTGAAATGAATAACTTTTAATAATATACTACAATATTCCTTGCATTTGATATAGCGCCTTATCACGTCTTCGAGATGTCTCAAAGTGCTTCACAATATATAATGTGAAGTGAATTGACTGTATATTTTGTGGGCGAAACACGGCAGCCAATTGCATACAGCAGTGTCCCACCAACAGTCATGGATTGAAGCAGCCAATTTTTTTTTGAAGGAATTATTACCCCCGGAAAAGCGATCCACCAATCGACTAACAACTGGGTTCCTACTTACTGCTGGGTAAACTGAGGTGTGTATAAATATATAAATGACTGTGTTAAATTTAGCATTTGTTTTGTTAAGATGGATATCTGACCCACACTGAAAACCACTAATGAATTATTTCACGCTTACTTCATTGCTGAAAATATTAAACTGTGGTTGGCAAGAGCCAAAGCTTGGGAACCTCACCATCTGTAAAGGGGTAATGCTGGAGTGTGATCAGCACCATGGGACATCCTACCGACCTGAAAGGCACTATACAAATATAATTTTGAATTGTATTATACTGGTGGAGTTTAAACAGCTAATACCATGCATATTGCCATTCACAGAACACTTTTTTGGGTCTTTGTTTTGTTTCATCTTATGTCTTTTGTTTCAAAATGTTTCCATCAAATCAACTTTTGCAAAAGGATAGAATATATTTAAAATATGAAAGTGAATAATGTCATTTGAAAATTATGTGAGTTTAAAACTGCTGAAGTATCTGACGTGGGAAATTGAAGGCACAAGTAGAGGGAGTTTTGAAAGCAACCTGAAGGAAGATAGATGGTGTAGTGAACATAATTCCTGGCCCCGGGGTCCGTTACTGTGAAATGCTCTGAGACGCCGTCTGGCGTGGAGGGCGCTATATAGATCCAAGTTATTGTTGCTGCAATTATTGGAAAGCAATGCTCTCCACCAACAATGTCCAACCTATTGTGTAATATCACAGTCTTATCATGTCACTGTTGATTTGGGCAATAACAGACTGCAACTTGGGGCACACATTGAGCAATTGTCTACTTGTTCAAGAACATAACCCCCTCCAATGATTTGGATTTTGAAAGAGCAGTAGCTACTCAGTGGCTGTAGAAGACTGTTTTTGTCAATAGATTCTTTGATCCTTTGCTTCATCACTTCTCAGAGATGATTACAATGCAGTTGGATGGATGCAGTGAAGCTGGATTTAGACAATTCTGCAGAAACAAAAATGCACTATGTTACTTAAGATGCAGTGCAAATAGAGAATGATTATTGTAGACCCGTAATGGCAAAACACAATTCATGCAGGTACAGTGCAAATGAAATTTTTTTCAAAAGGCTTACTACCATGGGGTTAAAAATGTAATGTGTGATTTGACAATACTCACACTTGTGACATTTATCACACAATTATTTCACACTTCACATTTTGCATCCCAACGTACATTAAACTTTTACTAACTAACATTGCCAATATGTTTCAGGTATAACTTTCAACCACTTTTACTGTGGGTGGGGGGGGGCATCATATTAAAGCCAATATATATTTGTTGCACTTACCAAACTGATAGGGCTTCAGGATTCATTCTTCTTTAACTTGAAGAGTTTTGCTGTTAATTCCTCTGACTACATAGATGCTTTTCTTTGCAGCCTCTTCTGAGAATTTATGAACTTTTGACCAAAGTTCATTCTTAATGTTTTTTGCGAACTTTTTTGCCAGCACATGTCCTGGAGCAGGTAGCAATAAATAAATAATCCTTGCAGTTGATGGTGTCGATTGTGTCTGGGAAAAGTCTTTATGTCTGATGATACATTTCAGGTTCTATGAATATGGATAGAGCTGTCTCCTTTTGAACTCTGGGTGTGTCTTTACCATTATTGCCTCTAAAACCAGCAGCTTAGATGACAAAGAGATAACATGCCTTACCACTCACAATGGGAAGCTGCTGAGGATGGTACTCAACATAACAGGACTTGTCAAGATGGTCGATTTAAATAATTCCAACTAATTCCAATTGCAATTTACTAAAGAGCTGTTTATTGGTAACCTTTTTGCGTGCCCAGATTCTGACCCCAATGCAACAGAAGTTGTGATTAAGTAATCTGGTGTAAAGAATTTAATAGTAGGCGATAAACTCCCCTTTACTCAAATTAAATAAGTAGCACAATGTGTGGATATATTAGCAGCAAGTCAGCACATTGGTTGCCAACTTGTCTTATCTTTTCAACCACACTTTTGGTTACCTCCTTCCAGCTCAGGCTTTTGGCTGCCTTGTGCAGTGTTCTGAGACATTATAGAGTCATAGAATATTACAGCACAGACGTTAGACCATTCAGCCCATAGTTGCTTTGGAAGAGCAACCCAATCAGTCCCACTCCCCAGCTCTTTCTCCATACCACTGCAAATTGTTCCTTTTTAAGTACCTATCTCAATCCCTCTTGAAAGCTGTTAGGGAATTTGTTTCTACCACACTTTCAGGCAGTGCATTCCAGACCGTAACAACTCTCTGCGTAAAAAAAAATATTCTCATGCCCCTCTAGTTCTTTTGACAATTAACTTAAATCTATGAACCTTGGTTACTGACCCACTGGCCAGTGGAAACAGTTTCTCCCTATCAACTCTATCAAAACCCCTCATAATGTTAAACATCACTATTAAATCTCTCCTTAACCTTCTCTGCTCTAAGGAGAACAATCCCAGCTTCTCTAGTCTCTCCACATAACTAAAATCCCTCATCTCTGGTACCATTTTGTTAAATCTCCTCGGCACCCCATCCAAGGCCTTGATACCCTTCCTAAAGTATGGTGCCCAGACGTGAAAAGGGCTATATAAATATAATTTGTGGTTGCCACAATGTTAACCATCTATGTAACAAGTCTGCAGCTCTTGGTTTAACATCAAGTGCAGAGTTCAAATCCTGTACACCGGAGTCCTGTAGTTCAGTGATTAGAGCACTCGCCTCGCAAGCAAGACACCTCAGTTTGATTCCCAGCAGGGCAAAATCTTGGCCAAATTTCCTAACTCCACACGCCTGATAATAATCACACAAATAAAAAAAAACACAATAATAATTTGGTCACTCAATCCACCACTGTTTGTGGGACACTGCTCTGCACAATTGGCTGCCACATTTCGCTCACAAATATTCAATCAATTCACTTTATAGTATATTCTGTGAAGCGCTTTGAGATGTCAAGAAGTCATGAAAAGTGCTATATCAAATTCAAGGATTATTATTATTAGAGTTCCATGCAAAATTAATTTTAAGACACAGAAGATATTTATCACAATTATTGACACAAGTCATTTGGATAAAGTATTTAGAAATACAGAATATACACAGGTTAGAAGTATTTTTATATTATATGCACCTGATTTAATAATACCAGATTATTTCTGAAAAATATTTAGGCAAATTTATGGGTACATCAAATAGCATGGTAATCAAATATTTTTGAGGAGAATGTTTTAAATGAAAATAAAATCAGCTCACCAATTCTGAAATTAGTTAATTTTGACAAGGGTATTTTCTAATAAAAGAAAACCCCAGTGATGCTGCACATTAAATGAAGT